GTACAGTGTAATTTTGTTTACAACATGACACCTGTGGCATACTATATAAATGTATGGCTAATTATTAGATTGTCCTTATTAACATTTGTTTTAAAAATAAAGTATGGGATATAAAACTAAATAACCCCAAAAGTATATGATACCTGTATATTGTGTATGATTTGTATAATTAATTACTATTTAGTCTACTTGTGACATTTGGCATATTTCTGGGAAACTTAAGTTTCACTAGCAGAAAGAATTAGTAAAGAGACATTTTTGCTAATTATATGGGGTATTTTAATTAGTGTTAAAGAGTTTAAAAGAAATGTTGAATATATGTATTGAGCTTGATTTTTGCTTGATGGAGCTAAATTATGAGCTTCAAGAAAATTGTACACTTTGTGCTAATTCTTTTCCATGGCATCTTCATGTTCTCTAGTCATCTGTTGATACAATTGTTTCTAGGTTTGGGGATGTATGAAACGCCCCTCTTTCTGGCTCATGAGGAAGAGTCTGGCGGCCGTAGTGTTCCCACTACACCTCTCCAAGTAGCAGCCCCAGGTTGGTGCCAGACAAATGAGGACATTTTATTTTATTTGGTGATATAGAACCCTATTGAACCTATTGTGGCTCAAAATTAATGAACCACAAAAGTAAATGTGTTTATTCTCTTTCTTTCTAAGTGACCGTGTTTACTGAGAGTACCACATCTGATGCTTCAGAACATGCCTCCCAGTCTGTTCCAATGGTGACAACATCCACAGGCACTTTATCCACGACAAATGAGTCAGCAACAGGTGATGATGGAGATGAAGTATTTGTGGAGACAGAGTCTGAAGGGTATGTATGATTTTATTGTATGTTTTTTGTATGTTGTCATAAGTGTTTGCTTTAGCAAGCAAATATGTCTGTGTCTGTTCTCAGTGGTACCCTACTCTGTGGATAAGCCAAAGCCTATGTTTGGAAAAGTTACCTTCCATTCAGAATCTAACCAGCATCAGAATTTAGGGTTACTATGAGAGCATTATTTGAAAAGATTTTTTTCATTCTAAGGAAACAAATAAAGGAGCCCATAAAGAGTTAAGTTTCAAATTGGAATCTAATTCTTGTAAAATTGGAAGTTTGTACTGTTTATTGGTCAGAAACACTGCTGCTAGAGCATAGGTTTTCTGCTTAGAGCTCAAGGACTCCATTTTCCTTCACAATACTTTATAAGCCAGGTCTACTGGGTATAAGCAAGTCTGTTTGTATTCTTTAACACTGAGAATACTAGCTGTTACTAATTCTATAGATATTTTCAGGTCACTTTATATTTTTCCTTCTAACCTACTTTCCATTGTAGAAATTAAGTTTAGAGCATTTTAACAATAATTTTCTTAGGCTGTTCTACTGGTAGCCAGCTCAGGTGAGATTTGAAACCTTAGCTTCAGCCCTGTACTATTTACATCTCCCCATTTTGAAACCTCGGGTCTTAGGTGAGTTGTTACCAGTAACTCCACTAATGTTTGCAGATAATAAAAGAGGAAAGATTAGAACAGATTTGGGGTTTTTAAACTACCTACCCTCATGTGCTTCTTTAAAGGGGGGGGGGGGGAAGAAATATAGCCAGGAGCCAAATATTCTTATACCCATAGCTTCTTATTCATGGTAACTTGCTAATTTGCTGTTACTAGTTGGGACAGTTATGAATAACTCTTGCCTTCCTAGAATATTGTTTGGGAGTTTATCAAACTCTAATGAAGAAGAAGGGCTGCTGAAACAGTGGAAAACAAAAAGTAAAATTGGAGGATATCTGGAGTCTGCACCGGCACCCGCACCCCCTGCTCTGCCTCCCAAAAAAAAAAAAAAACAAAAAAAAAACTTAACAGTCTATAGCAGAGTCTAATTTTTAGTTAAAAATAGAACTCTGAAGCTGCTTACAAAATAAATCAAAATTAATTTGGGATACATTCTAAAATCAGTTTTACGTAATCTAATCCACATATATTTTCTTAGTATTAGTTCAGAGGCGGGCCTAGAAATTGATAGCCAGCAGGAAGAGGAGCCTGTGCAAGCATCTGATGAATCCGATCTCCCCTCAACCAGCCAGGACCCTCCTTCCAGCTCTTCTGTGGGTAAGGACTGTGCCCATGCAGCCTGCATTCATCTCCCTCCCTTGTCTGCAGAGATGCTTATCAGGGACACATCTCTCAAATACACATTCCTGACTTATAAACACATTGCTTAATTTTATCATTAAAAGGAATTTACATTATCATCACAGGGATATTCTGGCATTGATAATCAGAAACATGGAGGTGGTAGATCCATACCAGAAGTGGTTCACTTATATTTCATCCAGATAACTGTCAGCACAGGTCCTATAAAATGTTTGGGACTCTTAACTGTGCTACTTACATTCTGGTTTCTTCTTAGATAATATGAATTGTTCACCTGTCTGAAGGTGCTACTTGAATGGGAGGGAGGTGTGGTACTGGGAAGAAATCAGAGGAGTGTTTCCCCAGCTCTCCTGTTGGAAACAGAGCAGCTTTGATCTGGAGGGTTGGGAGGTGAACTCCATTTACTTCAAAACCATGTTTGAAATTTACTAATGCAAAGAGTTGTCTTCAGGTTTTGTTCTTTTATTTGTTTTTTTTTTTTTTTTTGTTTGTTTGTTTGTTTTTTTAAACTTCGGAAAGATTATTTCTTTCCTATAATAAGTTACTTCTATGGGCTTTTTGTTGTTGCTTTTTAATAATGGCATATTTTGAGTATTAACTGTTTTGGGCTATTCTCAAGCCTTTTATATAGATTATTTGGTTCTCACAACAACCTAATTTTGTAGGGATCCATTCCCATATATTAAGTATGAGGACTAAAGCATAGAAAGGGCAAATTACTTCACAAGGTCACATAGCTAATAAGCTATAGGCCAACATGCAAGTTTGGCTCTAGAAACTACATTCAGTAAAATTTCATACCAGGCTTTTTAATCTTAGAATGCATAAGGCAATTCACCTTCAGTTTTGAGGAAATGACATGGAATACTCTATCATCCACTCTCAGCATTATTATTTTCATTTATGATTGTTATTCTGAAATTTCTATAGAACAGTCAGATGTTGTGACAGACTTGCTTTACTGTATTTTACAGTCACAGAATTTTGCTGTCCCCAAATCTCTTATTATCTCTCTTAGTTGCTTTTCTGACATTTCAGCCAATTGGCTTACATCTCTAGATTCAGCACCTGTATTCATATTTCATCAGCTAACCACTTTACATATTCACATTTCATACTGAATCATATAATCAGAATTTCAAATAATATATGTAAATTGTAACTCAGCTTTATGCACAGAAGGATCAGAAGTTTTAAGTTTATTAGTCCTGTTCATGTTCTCTGAGAATTGTCCTTCCTCAATAGTAGAAGTAATTCTAGCTCTTGCGTGAGAAAATGTGGTTTTTTGTTAGTAGAAAATAGAGTGCCCTTACACTGATTTCGTTCTCTATCTGACTGGGTACTCATTCAACAAATTTGAATGTCTAACATAGCAGAGAATTTTACAGAAAGTGTTGTCAAGAAACTGACATTTGGAAAGGGATCAAAGCCAATGGGTTGTGTCTGAGACATTACAAGTCAGCAAGGAGGTTTGTGGCTGGAGCAGAGTGAGGACGGAGACTAGGAAGCATATGAGAGGAGTGATGAAGGAAAAATCAGGTCAATCTTCATATTTGTTATGATTCTCATAGGAATAGAATACAATTGAAATTCTTCACATAGATTAATGACATGATGCTGCAGTCAGTTTGACCATGGTATATAAAGAGATTAAATTTTAATAATGAATAGAAACAGCTGAATTTGGAAGGTGTTGAAATACACAATAATGACAATGACTTGGACTATGTGGTTGTGGTGAGTTTGTTTAAATTTGAGCTGGCAAGATTTGCAAATGATTCGATTTATGGTATTAGATAAAACTACAAGTCAAATGCGTTAAATGTGTTATAATATTCTGCCTTCTCTGGGGCCTGATTCTTTTTTACCATAATATTCCCTTGCCCCTGGAACTATGTGTATACCTGAGTAGTTGCCTTAAATAAAAACCTCCTAAATTAGTTGAGTGGTTGAATAAGTAACTTCTAATGTTTTTCTTCAGATAGATTTTGTTGTTGTTTTTTGTTTGGGGGGGGTTTGGGGTTTTTGTTTGTTTGTTTTTTTTTTTTTTTGGTTGTGTTTTGTTTTGGTCTTGGGTTTTTTGTTTTAGTCTGGTTTGGTTTTTTGGTTGTTTATTTTTATTGTAGCATTTGTGTGTTTGTGTGATTGTTTAGTTCCCTTCCCTCTTAAGCAAACTTGAATATTGAAAACAACAGGCACATGTGAATTTGTCTGTGTTGATCTAGTATTGCAGCTGCTTTGTTGGCTAACTTTCTTTCCTTACATCTTAATGCCTTCTTTAGATACTAGCAGTAGTCAGCCAAAGCCTTTCAGACGAGTAAGACTTCAGACAACATTGAGACAAGGTGTTCGTGGTCGCCAGTTTAACAGACAGAGAGGTAAGTTTCTGACATACTGATTTCTTGGTATGTAGGATAATAATATGTGCAGAAGTTTCTAAAGTAAATTGTAAGAATTGATTGATTCATAATTACATGTTGGTAATGTGATACTTAACAACCAGAAAGCTTCTTTTAGGCAGTTTGTCTTAGCTACAAAATGAATGTGTTTTTACATACAATTGGTATCTTTTAACTGGATCCAAAGAAAGCTTCAGAAACGAAAATGTTAGCATGCTGTGTATTAATATTAATCTTAATATCTATAATATCTTAGATATTTCCACTGAATATGAATGGTTGCCTTTTATTTCCTTCTACAGGTGTAAGCCATGCAATGGGAGGAAGAGGAGGAATAAATAGAGGGAATATTAATTAAGTGATCTGTAAACTATAATAACACCTGTGAATAAGATTGGCAAATCTGTTTTAATATAATGATTGTCAAGTTGAGAAGTGTTTTGTATTTAAATAGGTATGCTCATTTCAACATTCTTTATTAATAAAATGTATTTCAATGTCAAAATTTGTCATTGTTTTCTTCATTTCATTTTGATGACTTTTCATTGCTCATCAGTCTAAGGACAGTTGTACCAGATTTTGGAGAGAGTCTGCCCAGAGCGAGTAGTAACAGCTCTTGCTGTTCTAGTTGGCACATCGATGTTATAGTATTGATCTAAATGAGAAAGAGAAATCATCTTTTAAATTAAAAAGCAGATAAAGCACTTGTTTGTGTTGATTATTGTATTTGAAGTCAGTATCACTTCAGTACCGAAATTGATTTCATTACTTCCTGCCAAAATATTTGTGTGATGGGATGATATTTCTGCATCCTTCAAGTAATATTAGATTCAACTCTCCTTTTTGAAAGAAGTATCTAAATTAAGTTAATTAATCTAAAAGGTGATTCGTTTGGCTTTTATCATTCTTAAAATAAATTTCTTTGGTATTCATATTATAGAATCAGGGAAAAATAATTTAAATAACTGGTCTTTCCAAGTAATATACTTCATTTAGTAAAACTGGGTCCCATGAATGTCTTGTACACCTTGTAGACTGTATTGATATGTGGGATCCTTAGTGCCGCTCATGATAGAAACAAGGTTTCTTCTAATCTCCTAACAGTGCCGTAGAACTGAATGGCACTCCCTTCCAGTTAAATGAGATTACTGCAGCAATCTCTCCCTTCACTTTGCATAAGCACTGACGTTTAGTCTCTTACTTGCAGTCATTATTGCCATTTCCACTTAAATTATGTTTGTTTCTACAAGTGATATAAACTTGGTAAGTTCACAGAATTCTTCCATCTTACTTACCTTTAGAAAAGGCATAGTAATCATAGCCGTCAGGTTTTCTAATGTTAGGCAGTGTTACTGCTGAGGTCACAACATTTGGAAACCCTCTCCACATTGCACTCACTTTGACTTCATTATGAAGGAAACCTGTAGGCAGAATTTGTAATCAAGGTTTGAAAGAGTTTGCAGCCTTAGAGCTACATAAGATCAGGTTTCAAGTTGGTTCTTTGCTATGACATTAACCGCTCAGTTTTAGGGCTGTCTTGAGGATTACAGATTTGTGTACTGTGTGTGTGTGTGTGTGTGTGTGTGTGTGTGTGTGTATTCATACACACACACACACACACACACACACACACACACACACTACTACTACTACTACTACAAAGGAAAAAAATTATTTTTGGTTATTACTCAGTAAGGCAAATGTATTTGTTTTACATCAGTAACTTTAAATTGTTAGTACTTTTTGACCAATAATCTCCTTCATGATCAGAATTCTTGATACAATTGAAAACATTACCCTTGTCTTGATAAACAACTCTCATGGGCAGCGAGTAATGGATTCTGAGGCTGTGTGTCTGGAAAGGGCCAACAGCACGCTCAAAGCGGCGCCTCCTGACCTGCGCTGCATCCCCATACACTGAGTAGTTTATAGCAGGCCTCCGTCCAGTGCACTTCCTCGTGGGCTCATGTTTATAAGTGTATTGCTGAATGTTGCCACCTGTTAATATTTGGAAAAAAATCACATAGCAAAACTCAAGTTGATCAACACAGAAAGGAATGGCTTAGAGTTGCCTTTTCATTTTTGGTTTTCACATACACACACACAGACTTTTAATAATAGCTATTGTAATTGAATAGTTAACTGAAAAAATTATTCTTGAAATACAGTAATTACTAAGATCTGAAATGTGTATTGAACAAATGAATCCAATAAATTGCCTAACACAAATTCAATGTTAACATTTATCTGACCCCCGTGTGTTCTATAATTCACATTGCAGGAGATATAAATAATTCTTATGTCCTGTAATATTTCTAGCAATAAAATATCAAAGAGTTCTTAAAAGGCAGTGTCATGTTGACAATTGTGTGATACATACCTCTCTTGAAAAAGTACACAGATTCAGGCCTGTCCTTGTACTTGGCTACTGAAAGAGCTGCCACTATCTTGCCTGTTAGTCCCCCAAAGCCTTTGACAATTTGTTTAGGATATCCAGCGTCTTGTACATCATTGGTGAAACGCCAGTATTGAGAATCCTGATTGTTAAAAAGAGAAGATAATGTGAAAGGCTTTATAGGCAAGGTTGTGGAATTCATTCTCAGATTTAAGTGTAGGGAGAACACAATAACTTGGTAGAATTTGAATAAGCAGATGATAAATAGTATCAAACTGTTACTGATGAGAGAACAGTTCATTGTTGCCAAAATGAAGCTACAACTGAATTTTTTTTCCCCCAAGGATTATTTGTAGTACCTTAAAGAAGAAAGTTTTCCCTTCACAGTTGCATCTAGTGAAAACAGTGTCAATAGGGGAAGGAATACCCCAGACTTCTGTAATTCTTCGTGGTGGAGATGGTGGTCTGAATGGATTTAGCATCCAGAAATAATGACCTAAAAATTAAAGAAATGTGTCAACCTACAGGCTGAATGCTAAAATATGCACCATGGAAAATAATATAGTGATTATAAGGAAAAATGGATTTAATGTACTAAGCTCCTGGAAATAGAGTCAGGTCAAAAAAGAGAAAATTTGTGTATTTCTAAGATATTTCTTAAATCCAAAATTTAGCAAAAGAGATATTTTGAAATATTTTAGTTCCTATGTTTTAAGTTTTAAGTTAACTTTTGAGTGTTATTTCAAGACAATCTGTGAACACTAGGCTGGTCTTGAACTCACAGAGCTCCCACCTACCTCTAGGTCCTGAGAGTTAGAATTAATGGAAGTATACTACTACACCCCACCTTGATTTGTTTTGGGTTTGGTTTTGGTTTTTGGTGTTTTTTTTTGTTGTTGTTTTAGGTTTGTTTGTGTGTGTGTGTGTGTGTGTGTGTGTGTGTGTGTGTTTTATTTTTTTGTGTGGTTTGTTTTTGTTTGTTTTTTGTTTGTTTTGTTTTTTGGTATGTGTAGAAGTCACAGAGCAACTTATTAGAGTTGATTTTCTCCCATCATGTAGAGCTCAGAGATCAGGCTTGACAGTGGTAACTTCATCTATTGAGCCATCCCACCACCTCATTTTCAACTCTCTCTAAAAAGGTCTTTTTGCCTTTGTGACATAGCTCTCTGGGTGTCAGTGTTTTTACTTCCTAGAATTAGAGTTATATAACTTAATGGCTGCTATTATCTCTTGAACCTTTACTACATATGATTTTGTTTTGTTCATACTTAATGTATGTTCTAGGAAGACTAAAATATCAGTCCATGTGAAATCTTATCTACTTAATTCTATATTACTCTCAAACAAAAACACAACTTTTCTTACCTCACAATAGAGACACAATTGTAAGTCAGAGAGTGCAAATCTCTGTCATTTGCTAGTTTGAAATTGATAATTTGAAATCCTGTCACGCAAAGAAACTTTCCTTAATAAATCAAATACTTTGTTGTATTTATGGGCCTACATTAATCAATCCAATATTCTCATTTAGTATAGAATCAGTTTCCCTTTCAAAGGTACAATTCAAATTAACACCCTTGTGATTTTGTTCTCAGGAATGCCAACACAAAACAAGAAGCACATAAATATAGTCATAGCTCACCTCGAAATGCAACTAATGTCCCATTGTGCAAAGTAGTCAGTCCATCCACTGGTTTACCATTGCATAAATTGGTCTCATCTAAAACAAATCAAAAATTATTGCAGAACAGAATGGGGAAAGCAATTCACTGTTTTTAAATCCTGAGAGGATTCTGTTTCCTGGAAATGATAGGATTCCATAATTCCTCTGACCTTATGTGCTTCAGGAGTATTATGTAAAAGTAATAGTGAGGTGTAAGAGACCAGGGTACCCTGATCTACATGCACGTGAGGTATTTATTAGAAATTTGAACTGTTTTCTGTCACTGCCCTTTGGAGTTGATTTAGAAATTTTTTTTCCTTTGTGTTATATTTTCTAAAGTCCTAACATTATTTTGACATTCTGTACCCCATTTCTGCTTCCAACAGACATGTCTGAACTTTGCCAACATCAAATTTCTGATGCTAATTTGTACTAATGTCCTGAAGAGCAAGTATACTATGGTTACTCTTACTCTGCACACCTATAAGGAAGCTGTAATCAAACTTGCTAAGTACCCAAGTTAGAGTTCCAGATCATGGATCTCTATAGAGAGATACTACAACAGGAGAGTAACTGATTCTTAGTACCTGAAAGCATGGGATTGATGTTAATGCCGTGGTTGAGTGCGCCGGCCAAGTGATCAGTACCTGAAATAACGATGGGGGATAGCACAGGGGGCCTGGGAATCAGAGGCTTTTCTCCACCTCCATCTGCATCTTCATTATCTGGATTTACTTCAACTGTTTCTGAGTTTGGAGTTGGCTTAGGGCTGGCGGTGGTTGGCAGCACGACTTCTAAAGCAGCAGTATTTAATTCAGGCATTGCTGAAGTTGTCTTTAGAGGAGATGGTGTTGTTTTTGGTTTTCTCGCTTTTGTTGTCTTTGGCTTTTTGGTAGATGTGGGCTTCTTTGGTGCTTTGGATGGCTTTTTGGTAGAAGCAGGCTTCTTGGGTGCTTTGGTTGGTTTCTGGGGTTTTAGAGTTGTCTTAGGCTCATCAGAGTCATCAGGGGTTGTTTCTTCAGGGTTTTTTGGAGTCTCTTCAGTTGGAGCAGTTACTTTGATTTTGAGAGTTGTTGCTTCTAGAGTAGAAATTTGGGGTGATGTGGTATCTTGAGATGCAGATGTTACTTGTGTGGTGGTACTTGCTTCTGATTTGGTAGTCTCTTCTGGTATAATTGTTGTCCCTTTAGGGGCAACAGTTGTAGTTTGGGGTGTGTTTTTTTCTGTTGTCTTATCTTTAGCTGCTGTAGTAATTTCAGGTTCACTTTCCTTGGGAGTCTTAGTTGGTGGGACAGTGGGTTCCTTGGGACTATTTTCAAGAGCCTTTGGTGTGGGTGCTTCAGAAAACTCAGGAGTTACTTCAGCAGAGGTCTTGGGAGTTGTGGGTGCAGGCTCTTTGGGGGTCGTGGGAGCTGGTTCCTTAGGGGTGGTGGCTTCAGGCTCCTTCGGGGTCGTGGGAGCTGGTTCCTTAGGGGTGGTGGCTTCAGGCTCCTTGGGGGTCGTGGGAGCTGGTTCCTTAGGGGTGGTTGCTTCGGGCTTCTTGGGGGTCGTGGGAGCTGGTTCCTTGGGGGTTGTGGGAGCTGGTTCCTTGGGAGTGGTGGCTTCAGGCTCCTTGGGGGTCGTGGGAGCTGGTTCCTTGGGAGTGGTGGCTTCAGGCTCCTTGGGGGTCGTGGGAGCTGGTTCCTTGGGAGTGGTGGCTTCAGGATCCTTAGGAGTCATGGGAGATGGTTCCTTGGGAGTGGTGGCTTCAGTGTCCTTGGGGGTCATGGGAGCTGGTTCTTTAGGGGTGGTGGGTTCAGACTCCTTGGGGGTTGTGGGAGCTGGTTCCTTAGGGGTCGTGGGTTCAGGCTCCTTGGGGGTTGTGGGAGCTGGTTCCTTGGGAGTGGTGGCTTCAGTTTCCTTAGGGGTCGTGGGTTCAAGCTTCTTAGGGGTCGTGGGAGCTGGTTCCTTGGGAGTGGTGGGTTCAGGCTCCTTAGGGGTGGTAGATTCAGGCTCCTTAAGGGTCGTGGGAGCTGGTTCCTTGGGAGTGGTGGGTTCAGGCTCCTTAGGGGTGGTAGATTCAGGCTCCTTAAGGGTCGTGGGAGCTGGTTCCTTGGGAGTGGTGGGTTCAGGCTCCTTAGGGGTGGTGGGTTCAGGCTTCTTAGGGGTAGTGGGTTCAGGCTTTTTGGGAGTGGTAGGAGCAGGTTCCTTGGTTGTAGTTACAGGCTTCTTGGTAGTAGTAGGAGCCGGTTCCTTTGTAGTAGTGGGTGCTGACTCCTTGGTGGTAGTGGGAGCTGAGTTCTTGGAGGTGGTAGGAGTAGGAACATCAGATGTGGGTGCAACATCTTTATTTTCTGCACTGCGTATCTCTTTAGCTGAAGTAGTTTTCTCTTTTTTACTGGCGGAAGTCTGTTTATTTGTTGCAGTAGTCTCCTTCATTTCAACTGTTGTCTCTTTATTGGAAGTTGAAGATGCCTCTTTGGGTGTCTCAGAATTAGGTGCAGGACTGAGTTTAGCACTTGCCGGCTTTGCTGCTGTAGTCTTGGGATTGTCAGGAGTTGGGGTGGGCTTGGGTTCACCATTATCCAGTCCACTTCCAGCTTCATCTACACCTGGTGGTTCTGGATTAGGTTCCTTTTTAGGGGTGTTTTTCTTGTTATCTTTTACTAGAGAAGAAAACAAAAATTGTTATTTTGAATATTTTTTCTCCCTTTTACAGTAACATAAAAATCATAGTCCTATCATTGACTAGCTATGTATCTGTAGGCAAATTGTTAATCTTTAACATGCCTTAATATGTGGTAAAAAGTTAAGATTTTCTATCTTTGGAGACTTTTTATTGAGTAAATGAGGTGTGTGGATAAACCACAAATGAAACCCTAAATATAAATATGTGGAAGATGGCTTGAAGTCAGCAAAGTGATCAGTAGTTTGAATCCATCTCTATGTTAATTTCTTTACCCCTCACTTGGTCCACTATGCCATTCACCCCCATTCCTTGTTGTTCAGTGTTGTCTCTTCTTCCTGGAAACTTGATTTCAAACTCTTGTAGTTTCTTTACACTAACTCCTACAAAGGCATCTACAACTGACTGAGGATTTGGTTCCATTCTTTCCAAAGGTCTCTGTTGAACCTAGTTGCCATACACATAGGGCTATTGACTGCTCCTTTTCAGCTGCACAGCTAAACTCTATAGTCCCAGAAGACATGGGCAATTAGGATGCCGAGGCAATAGACTGTGCTTAAGATTCTCCATAGTGGCTACCTCTTAGGGGAGCTAAGCCAAAAGCATTTCACTGATATGACATCTGTTTAGCAAACTTGTATTGCACTTCCATTCTGAGCAGGGTTCTTTGAATGACTTGAAGTGAGAATAGCTGGCTATGAAGCTAGAGAAGGTTATAGAGAAACTGCAGCCACCCAGGGAAATGTTCCTCAGAATTCCAGTACTTTCTAGAGAAAGAATATATTTTCAAATTTTGGGAAATACAAAGAACAGATCAGGTAGAATGTCTTCTCAGAAAATAATAACCTGTTCTTTAACTTGCAAAGAGAAGTGAGGCACATGATTTTTGTTTAGAGGATAGGAAAAATAATAGCGATATACAACAGGAATAATAATCTCACCTTTCCCTGGAGGTATAAGAGAATGTCAAGGACTAAGTAATGTTGGCCAATGCTGAGTTTTTGTTAAGTAAAACCATAGAAGGGAAAACAAGCAGGTAAAACCGTAGAAGGGAAAACAAGCAGGGGACAGAGAGGAACTGGAAGGACACAGTGATCAGCTGGACAAGAATTGCGACAGATTGCCACAAACTATTGTCTCTGATACTAGCTTGTGCTTCCAGTCACTACTACAGCATCTTCCGATCCCTTGCTGTAAAGGGTGCTTACCACTGAGTCACTGTAAGATGTCTTCATGATGTACTTTTTAAACTGAGTGTTTCCATAGTTACATGCTCCCCAAATACTGAGATCTCAAACCATTCTACCAACACACATTACTTTTTGAAAGATTATTGTTTAACATGGCATTGATAGAGTCTTTGATCTTTATCAATGCTCAAACCTTTTGGGTTCTTCTGTAATTCTCTATTAGCTGAATTTTTGGAAGACTTGATTTTCCGAATAGTTGAAGAGGAAGAGGAAGAGGAGGAGGACTCTTGATTTTCAGAAACAGAGTGTTCTATAAATCAAATAAAAAGTTTGATCACAAAACAAAGTAAAAAGAGCTGCCGGTCCACATATAACAAGAAAAGCTGGCAACTGGTCTTCGAGAGCTGTGGTCTGCTGTCGTCCTATGGGTAATGCAACAACTCACTTTGTAAAGCTATCAACCAAAAAAAGCAAGGCATCTGAGTTGATCAAATATGCTAACAATATAACTTTCTCCTGATTTTCCCATGCCTGCTAAAAGTTACACAATCTAATTATTTTTTTTTTAAGAGAAATCATGTTTTCATTTTTTTACAGTGATCTTTGCCTCTGTTGATAAAGGGTTTGGTAAATAAGGGCTATAAATATCCAAGGGTTAATATTTTTGTTTAAATATTAATGTAAATCAAGTAAACAAAAAAAGTATGATTAGCCCTTCATGACTCAAATGATTGCCCTCTGAGGATATTCATATGAATAGTCCACCTACAGGTTATTTCAGTTCAGAAATCTCCTGTAGTGATGTCTGTCATCTTCCTACCTTCTGTTATTTCCTCTGATTCTACAACTTTCTTAGTCTTCTTTTTTGGTGATTTGGGAGAGCGTTTGGTAGTTGATTTGATGTTGTGAGATGCTCCTGGAGGCGGAGGTGCAGTCTTTGGAGGTTGTGATGTGGGATTATGCACTGAGGCCAAGCAAGACAGGTTGTTAAAATCCAGTTTAGATTCATCAGCAGTGCTAACTGAAAGGCATGGACACATGTGGCTTCGAGAGGAAATGCTGCTAAAAGTCAGTACGGGACAGCTGTAGCCCAATAATTCTGAGGACACATTGCTATAAAATAGAGATTCTCAAACTGGGGAGATTGTGGTAGAATGCAGTCTCAGGGATCGATGCTCTAAATGTTAGTCATGCTTCTCTGGGTGCCTACATTTTTGACCTTGGAATACAGGCTGAACTATCATCTGTAAAGTGAGGGAATCCCTGGGAATCAGAAGAAAGAAGAGGGACTTGAAAGAGAAGAAAACAGCAGTTGAAATAGGGAAGACAAGAGTTACACACAGCCACCACTCCCACCATCTCTTCAGAACTCCTCGTTTCCAGGAACTGGGCACTGCACCTCGCCCTCTTTCTCCTCCCCCCCTTTAACAAAATGCCAAATTGAATAACAGTTCTGCCAGGTATTCGTTAGTGATTGTGGCCAAAACAGATAAGCTTTCCGGCTTCTCTCTACCCATTTGGGAGGCAACTGGGTTGATATGACTCCTGTCGGTTCACAAAATGCTACAATTTTTAGATAGATCCTAATAACCAGTGACTAGCAGTCCTGAAACAACTTGGCAGTTTCCATAGTTTTTAATGAAGTCTTAAGCTCTGGATAGTTTTCAGTTGGGAGCCTGACTGTCTTCCTGAAATTTGTGAATTGAGTTGCCTTGCATTGCCTCCATTCTTTCCACTTCCTGTCTAAACCTCAGGTGTACTTCAGAAGTATGGAACACTCTGTGTATTTAAAATGTTCTGTTGGTGTCTTCATTCAATCTTCTCCCTATCCATCTGCCAAAATAACTGTTTGGGGGATTGGGGAGTTAGGGTGTTGCTTTGTTTGGTTTCCTTTGGTTTTAGCTTGTCTCTTAGCCAAAATAATTATCAAGGTATTGAGTAAATATATATATCCCCATCACGATCCCTTCTGAAAGCTGCAGGAGTGCTGAGCTCGGGGTTTTGAAATAAGGGTGTTGTCTCCAGTACTTTTAGAATACTTCCTGTAAAAATATTGAACAGTTAAGAAAGAGCCCTCAGCTCTGCTGATTGAGTTTCCACCACTAAATAGAGAAGAGCACAGCCAACAAAAACCATAATCAAATTATTCAAGTAATTGTTCTCAATTTTACCTCCACATATGTTCACATTTTGACAAAGGATGGTTAAGAACAAATATGGAAAAGAAAGTATCCCATTATTTTATCTTGTAAAAGGAGCAAGGATGGGCTGTTGTTCCACTGTGAGAGTATTCCTTCGTGTTTAATGGCCAGAAAAGGTTTTTAAGTGAGGCTGACCCCTTTTATTGACTTTGTCCCATATCAACTTTTGTGTAGAGACTGCTGAAGGGACTGTAGGGATGGGAAGGAACAAAAAATTAATTGAGGTACCAACTCAATTTAGACAGCAGGCCTTAGGGACAGTTGGTTTTGTGGTGGAGTACCACTAGGTGGGGACAAGTTTTAAACTGTAAAAGAAGCATCTTGGAAGATAAAAGTGTGAACACTCGGCCTGTGCCCTCCCCTCCACCCACCCCCACCCCACCATTGTGAGGCTCCAGTTAAAGGTGCTTTTCTTTGTCTTTGTGAAACAATATTATTGTGAAACAGCTCATACATTAGTAAAATCAAGACCTTAGATGTGGGCTAGACATCACTGAAGCCAAGGTATGTACCCTACTAGAATGGCTGTACTAAGCAGCACTGGCTGGCGCCTTGGTTCTTACCTTCTTCACAGAAACTCTCATAATCGTCACAGCACTTGCCAAACTCTTTACACTGGGAGTCACAGTCGCACTCCCTCCCTCGTGCGAAGGACTCGAAACATCGGCCTTTGCAGGAGAGTTCTGCCCAGAGCAAAACAGGCAAAGTGGATTATTAGTCACAAAGCAATACTTACATATCCTGTAGCATTTCTCATCTGATAGATGACTGGAGTCTCAAGGGTGCACTTCTAAGTCTCATATTTGGAATATGGAGTACACGCATCATCCAGTATTAAAAATTAAATTTAAAAGGATGATGTCCAGACAGAGAGCCTAAGTCAGGGAAGAAATCTGATGAGTTGGGGCATCATTCTTTTCCTTGTAAAATATCAAGAGACCCCCTGATGCTGCCTGAGTCCTTTACATGTGTAGACACAAGAGGAAACTTGGAACTATCTATATAGCAAACTGCCCTTCATACAAGGTCCTTCATCCTCCCCTCACACCTCCGACACCGTTTCTTTGTAATAGACTCTGTAGTCATTAAATCCCCCTATCTTATAACATTATATCCCAAGAAACTAGTTGAACAGGCCATTGTCCAGGCCAAAAAAAAAAAAAAAAACATTTACAATACAGACACTGCTAAAATGACAAACTGGGTAGGGAATGAGATTGAAAGGTTTCAGTTAATGCCATGATGTAGACTATGACACAAGGCCTTCTTGTTCCAGAAAAAAAAAAAAAACCTTGGTGGGAGCTACGATAACTTAGTCAAGGCCTGCTTGAAACACTTTACCCAGCACACAAACTTACAGCACCTCCACATGAAAATTCTAATGCAAATATAACTTTTACAGATTTTTATAATTTTCATAAATTGAATATTAAATTGCTCTCATCTATTACAAGAAATGGCCCAAACAGTGCTCAATTAAAATACCACTCATAATTCAGAACTTTGGGACTTTGAAAGTCATGATTTAACCCTGCTATTTGTTTGATCTTTAAAATATCCTCCTCAGGTAATTTAGAAACACATTTACTACCCAAATTTTAAATAGCATATGTATGTGTTCTGTGCCTATTTATCCTTTCGATGAAACTATCTGAAAGGCTCGATATCTAAGCAATCAAAACGCAACTGTTAATGAAGAAGGATGCCTTCCCTTTTACTTGATGTCTACCACATCAAATAATTAAGCCTCTACCTAAGTCCTTTTACACGCAAGCAGTGGACACAAATGTGCAAATGCCAAGTGCCCAGGTTTCTGTTCACGACCCCGGAAATCAAAAGCTTTGAAACCATCCTCAGGTACAGTGTACTTCAACATTTAAGCAAGTGAAGGAAAAGGCATTTAGACAGAGGAGGTGGGAAGGAGAAACAGAGCCGCAAAGGGTGCCAAAGCAGGTTCAGAACAGCAGAACAGTGGGCTTGACAGATGACGCCCAGCTCTCAGAACGTACCTGTGGTGCAGACTCTCTTGAAATCAGGACAGCACTCCATGTAGTGTTGACAGTTATAATCACAGTTGCAGGTGGCATCTCTAGAATACCCTTCCCCACATCTCCCTGCACAGCTTGATAAATCTAAAATTATACAATACTAGGGTAAACACGGCCAAAAACACTTAGAAAGGGGGAATCTATTAAGGAGGACAGAGCCACCTGAGAGGGAGAGCCTTACCCACTGGGCAATGCCAGGAATACTGTGCAGTGATGGACCTAGCTGCTATTTGGGTAAGCCTGTATGTGGCTTTAGTCATGTCATTTCATTCTTCACTAGATTGGGATGATAAATACACCTCTGAAAGTCAGGCTAAGTAATGCTTGCATGAGGAGTGATAATACTGGGACAAAGGTGGCCATTACAGCTGCAGATGGCAGCTCTTGTGATTACTAGTGGTTGTTTTTTGAGCAGCCCTATGCCAGGCACTGGGCCATACATTGTCTCCAAAGCTTAGGAAAATGTCTCTAGGAAAGTATTACTAGCCCTATCTAAGTCACAGGCCAGGTGGTGGTAGCACACATGTCTTTAATTCTAGCACTTGGGAGGCAAAGGCAAGAGGAACTCTTGAGTTTAAGGCCAGGCTGGTCTACGAGAGAGTTCCAGGACAGCTAAGACTATAGAGAAATCCTGTCTCAAAAAAACCAAAAGAAAAAAAGAAAAGACAAATTTTAATAACTTGCCCAATGACACACAGCTAGTCACTGTATGTAAATGTGTGTGTGTATATATATAATTGATCAACTAATATATATATATGTATGTATATATATATATATATATTCATTATCTGTACAACCCCTTTACTCTTATAAATGCCCTGATTTGGGATAATCAATTGTATAATCATCCTAAACAAATAACCCATTTCAAATTCAACCTCCTTTGTGTGAATTTGAAGCATGCACCTTCTCCACTGACTGCATTGCCTCTCACTCTCAGTGTTGAATTTAGAGCAGGCTGGTTAGACAAGGACAGACTCTTCTGGGTGTTCTCTGTCAGTAGGAATAAGAGAGAACTCTTGAAATCTGATCTGGGTGTGGATATAAAGGTCATGCATGAACTGAGTGTTTGTGGACAAAAAAAACAATGATAGTGCAAAATAAGTAGCCTTACATATTTCTAAACACAGTTTGGCAGATAACATTGCAAGATCCTCCCCAAGAGATAATAGTATGAATGTAGCAATGAAATCCCCTTCTGGAAAGTTCTAATTTGTAGAGGAATATTGAAATACACTGAAAAAAAAAAAATCTCAAGAGAATCCAGGAAAGTTTGTTTTAATACATATATAAACAATAAAGAGTAGGATAATGGTTGCTTACATACATATGTGCACAGTACATACAAAATGCATATATAGTGTATGTTTATAAATACATATATATAAGGAAAGAAATGAAAAGAGGTTGAGAAGGCAAGACAAGCAGACAAAACAACATCAAAAGACTATTCATTTACACTTAGCATATTTCTAGAACAAATGCACTTATTTTTATAAATGGTCTATTATAGCCTTATGTTTATTGCAATTTATTTAAACCACTAGTGTGCTGGGAGGGTGGGGGGTACATGTATATGTGTGTGTGCACATGTGGAGGCCAGAGGTTGGTGCCAGGTTTCCTCTAACACTTTCCGCCTTATTTTCTTGGCTAGCATGTCTCATTGAGCCTGTAGCTGGCCACGGGAGCTAGTCTGCTTGGCCTGTGAGTACCAAGGTCAGCCTATCTCGACTCCCAGAGCTGGAGTTGCAGGCATGTACTGCTGCATCTAGCTTTTCACATGGGTGCTGGGAATCTGTAAGCACGTTCTCATGCTGTACATCTGATAGCTTACCAGAAGCATCATCTCCCAGTCCCACTGATTATAAGTTTGTTTATTTAAAAAAGAACTTTCAGTAGATAAGTAGAAAGAAAACGGATGGCTTGGGAGGTACCCAGTATTTCGAGTCTTAATGCCAAATGAGAAAACAGAAGGGTCTGAGACTGGGAGTGTGGCCGTCATTCCTCACTCAGCATTTATATTTGGTTCCTGTGTTTCTCCACCTTATCTTATCTGGATGACTCTGAAACCATGCCCAAGCAAGCAGTCATCCCTCATGTTCAGGTTCAATGAGAATTTTAGACATTTTACCAGAAATGGTTATTTTAAAAATAAAACTTCACTGTAATAATTATGGATATTGATTTTTTCTTCACTCACGCTGTGTATTTTGAAAAAAAAAGCTAAAGTTACATATTGTTATGACTAATCAACTTAAATTTCATGCTGTGTACTGTCTACCATGGCTGTGCTGAGTGCACACCAAGGCAGGAGGAACATGCTACCCACCTAGGACTGATTCTGAAGGCCTTAACTCTGCAATGTTATAAAGAAATGGCACTCAGGTCTGTACAAGCCCATAATGGGATGAATAGTCCCTGTAAGGAAGAGAGAGCACTTAAGGCTAATAAAATCCATTTGAAACACTGTAAATGTGCATTATAATATGCTATCTGTGTTCACGTGATGGATAATAAAGTAAGTTATTTATAATGATTCAGTTGATGTAAAAGTTTGGTTAAATTTGTCGGCATACCATCAAATGTTATTTGAATATTGCATTTCTCATTTCTTTTGATGGTGTTGTGTAGCTCCAGCAGAGTTCTGTTATTTTTTTTTTTAATTTGAGGAAAAACTGAATGGGCAGAGTAGGGACATTGCTTTCTGTCAAAGCTCAAAATTCCTTTAAAGCTCTCACAGTGCCAGAGGGAAAGGCTAGAATTCCAAAACACACAAATGTACTGCGTGTGTTTCAACTTTAGGGTTGCAAATTGTTAAACTCAAGCAAATGTATATGTTTCTGAATATATTTTCTTGTTGTCATAAAAACCAATCCAGGTGTTTAACAGCAGTGGTTGGATAGAAGCATTTTTGATGGGTAAGTTACCTTGAGATGAAACTTGTTGAATCAAGAGGGTAGGAAGCAGCAGCAACACGCAGATGGGAAGTATTTTCCACTGCATGGCTGTACTCGGATACAACACTCGGATGCCTGAAATAAAAATGAAAGCATCAGAAACCTGCTCTTTAATATCACCACCACATAATGTGTGTGACATGCATAGCGTTCAGAAACTTCCCAAACCTAACTCAGAAATAAAACACTCCATTCCTAAAACAAAACGTATGAGCCATCAGCTTGAATTCCTGAGAAAGTACTTGGTTGTCCTGTTTAATATGCTTTAGAACAAGCCCCCTCAATTGAATTACCAACCACTATAATACCCCAGAATAATAGCAGAAAATAGGGTTATTTTTACTCTGTTGGAGGAGTAGTCTGTACTTAACAGTGCAAGACTTAAATCATGTCCTGGAGAGAGAATAACCAGCTTCAATAAAACTGAGATTAGCAATAGCAGTGGAGCAGTTCGTCCAACTCTCTTAATTCAATATAAATTCATAGGCTTCCAACAGGTATCTCACACAATTATGATTCTTTTCAAAACCTTCCAACTTCAAACACATTTAATGAAGACATACTTAGTGCTACAAAAATCATGTTAACTTTAACACTTACCTGTAAAAGGAGAGATGAATTTCTTCAGTGTTGCTGGAAGTCTTATATACCAGTGCAAATGGATTGGGATGACCCAATGAGTCCAAAGGTTAGGCAAAATCAACAGTGACAAGCTATGAAATCAAGCTTCCCTCATTTGCTGGCCAAGGGCCCAGACGACTAGACTTAGGCAACATCTGGAAAACACTCCCATTAAGAAAAATGACTACTACAAAATAAAGTTAGATTTATTGGCCAAAACACATTTCTAATTTCTAAGTGAAGTGAACAAATTGTTCAGAGATGGTAAAACACTCTGGCAGCCTTTAACTGGTGTAAAGAAACAGCTCTAAAATGCCCAGGCTGGTACCATGACTCCCTTTCTTGCCAGTTAAATCCAGTAAAGGTGTTTCAGAGACATCTCTGATGTAAGCTTGGGATGAAAAGATCATGATCTTATACCAATAATGTAACATCCTCCTCTGCCTTCTCTTCCTTCTTTGAATTCTTATTTTTGTGGAACACAGGAAATACACACTCAGTTCACTGTAAGGTAAAATACCCACGCTGTGGGTTTTCAGGCTTCATTACCATGAAAAAGCTTGCATTAAAAACACTATTGAAAACCTGGCCCAGTGGCATCTACCTGTCTGTAGTCCCATCTCTCTGGAGGCTGAGGAAAGGATCACAGCATAGGGATTGGGGACCAGACTGCACATCACAGTTCCATTCTACCCCAAAAATAATAAATAAATAAAGAAACATAAACTGAAAACTGTACTGAGTTTACCATGGTGCAACACTGCTAGTGTTTAGAAGATGTCTCTTATGCTCCTAGTGTAGTTCCCCTGCCACAAGAAATGTAAACCATCTGCCTTTCAGCTCAGCAGGAAGTTTTATGCCACTTTCATGTGTAATGTTCTTGTTCAAATCTCGCCTAAGTTCTCATCTATGTTTCAGCACCTTCCAAAATCTTGCCCAAGTTACACCTACAATTATAGTCAATAAATGTACTGTATTTTATTGGTATTATCTATCCATTTGTCTCTGAACACCACCAAGCATGGATTTCCTTAAGAATATATCTTAATTATACTGCCAATGTACAGTCAGTCTAGTGCTTTACCAAGATTGTGTGCACAAAATGTGTTTGGTGAAGCAAACTGTTCTAGCCTGGATTTTGCCATGCATTGTATATTTAGTAGGTACTGCATTTAGTTATCACACAATGACTTTAAGTAGAAATATCGTCTACATTTTATAAATTAGAAGATAAAAACGACGAATGAAGAATGTATGACCATCCTCACAACACAGGACTTTGCATTCAAGTTCCATCCTGTTTCTATCATATCCCACTCGAGTAAACACATCGCCTCACTATATAGCCACTGTATTATAGTTTAATCCTTCATATTTATATATGCTTTCTTCTCAGATGAATATCTAAAGACAATATAGAGGCTGTCTGCCCAGCTCTTGGTAATCATCCCCTGGCACCACCTCACAATCCACAGAGTGATTTCCCTTTAGACAGCCTGGCTGCATCAGTCACTGCTGAAATAGCTGGAAGGAGGAAGTGGAAGTATGTTGGATCAGTGTTTCTTTCTCATGGAGATGTGAAGTTAGAATGCAGAGATTACTAGTCTTTCTGCCGAGACAGATCTGTGATGCGTGGATTTCTGCTCATGTTCTAAAGGAAGTTCTTCAGACAAAAACAATGCAAGTAAGTGGCGAAGCTACAGGGAAAGATTTCCAGAAGCCTTCTAGTTCATGGATACATCTTGTTCTTTAGACTCAACATCTTGTTATATATATTTATGGTGAATTTCTCTTCTGGAGATGAGGCTACAGAAGTGTCTTGCTACTTTAAGGCATATTATGAACATAAAAGGTCTTGTTGGGTTGACTTGAACTGAAATACCTTGCTTCTTAGACTTACCAAAGTCAAAAAAAGGAAGTGAGACTAAGGTCTATATTATACTCTAATATGTACCTTTTAAACTATCTGTACTATTATCCTCCTTCTTTAAATGAATCGGATAGTGGCAGTAAATCACATTTGGAGGCGGGGGGTGTTGTGCCTGCGCACACACAAGAAGGCTCACTCCCTCCTCCTTCCCTTGAGACAGGTCTCTCATTGCACCCGGAGCTTGGCTGTAGGCCAGCAAGTCCCAAAGACTCTTCTCTTTCTGGTACCTATAGAACCAGGGCTACAGGTTTATAGATGATCAAGCCCAGATTTTTTGTGGGCACTGGCAGTTTGAACTTGGGGCCTTATGCTTATATATTAAATGTTACTCATTGAGCTTATGTTTATATGGCAAACGTCCTTACCCATTGAGTTATCTCTCTAGCTCTAGTAAATGATGTTTTAAAATTAATTGAATAATTTGTACTTGTTCTTAAGTTCAAGTTCTAAACTTCCCAGGCTGACAAAGAAAGCATGAATACACACATATGCATAACCAGTGTAAACTATAACTTTAAACGTATCCATTAATGTGTTGTTTTTGGCACCTTAATTTTCCATATGTGTCAAAAATGGAACACTATTAAATGCCAAGATTAAATTTACCCAGCTCTATTTACCTTCAATTCGACAATTTTACTGGATAACGAGGCTATCTAGGTTAAGTTCACCCTTGGAATAGAGAAACATTTCTATTCTTCAGGGTTTGGCACACTTACTATCTTTGTTACATAGCAATGGTCCTATTGCTTTTTAAGTTTATCCTTTGAGATATCATTCCTCATTAAAAGCATGTTGTTAATGTTCATTTCAATCTCATTTAACTGGAATACAAGTTACCTCAGGATTGGGTTGTGATGTGGAGTACTGGGAACAGGGGAGTCAAGAGCAATGGAGAGGATGTATATGATACTGAATCATGTCTCATCTCAAGGGCTGTGTCCGTATGAGAACCCCTTCTGAGCATCGCTTTCTACTGGCTTCTCTGTTAAATCGTCTATTCTGTCTGTTAGGCCTCCATCCCTGCTGTTAGCTGTCACCTTGCCCTGTAGTCAGCCTGTCTATGCCTCATGGCTTCCCTCCACCTTTCCACAACTTTGATGTTCTTTCTTTTAGCAGCAGCCCAGGAAAATGTGAAACCTGCCAGGGGGAAACTACAGAAGCCAGCTTGTTCTTCACTGCTGCCGTTTGCATATGATCAGTGTCTACTTAGGTGAAATAGCTCATTCCGCCCAGATGGAATAGAAATCCACATGTTGGGACTACTTCTATACTTTCTATTCAAAGCACCATCACACACTAGAAAGGAGTGTGTGTGTGTGTGTGTGTGTGTGTGTGTGTGTGTGTGTGTGTGTGTGCATGTGCGTGCATGTGTGTGTGTGCACATAAACACACATGTATATTTTCCTGGATATTTGACCAAAACTCTAAGCAGTAAGCATTAGCTCAGTAAAAGTGTTTGGAGATCACTTTCTCAACCCTTTCCATCGTTTCTAGCTGTACCTTTAGAGATTATACCTCAGCTGCCCATTCAGGTAGGTGTGACCTGACAGCTGTGTTTACTTTGATGAAACACCAATAGGAATGATTTGCACAATTTCCATCTGTTTCCTAACAAGAAACTGCCTTCCAAACTTCCTCTTTTTCTGCTTTCTTGTACATTGGATGACAGGATGGCAGGCACTGGGACCAACAGTGGTCATGCGGAAAAAAAAAAAGGCAGCCAGTGGTCTATGTGAGGCTTACATGCTATATAATCCCCTGCAAAATTCATACTATTTGAATAAATTTAATCAAAAGTCCTTCAAAAATATCCTACCATAGAAATAATAAACATCTAGTGTTTTCAAAAATTATATTCTAAAAATTAGATTTACATTAAAGAATGAGTTATTAGTTGATAATAAAGTTCTGACAGAGGAAATGGAGATATAAACTGTTTATTGCAGAGGACACAATTGTGAATATAGAAGATGCTAAGAACCCATGAAAAGTTGTAAAAACTAATGAGCAAACTAAGCAAGGTCATAAGACATAAGGACAAGACCCAGGTTAAGGACTTATTAATGTATTAACAGGTGTGCCCAAATAAAAATGATTGAACTTTCTAAGAATAAATGAATGAATGGTTCATGCATTGAGTTCACTAATTTATTTTCTTTTTTTCATGTTTTGAAAATAATTTGTTTCTTTTTAAGTGTAAGAGTGTTTTGTTTGCATGTATGTCTGTGCACCATGTGCATGCCTGTTAGTGGACACAGAGGTCAGGAGAAAGCATCAGATCCCCTGGAACTGGGGTTGTAGAAGGCTGTGAGCTTCCCTATGGAAGCTGGAAAGCAAACCTGGATCCTCTGCAGGAGCAGCGCGTGCTCCTAAACACTGAGCCATCTCTCCCACCTTGTGTTTTATTTTTGTGAGACTATGTATAATTCTGTAGCCAATGCTGACCTAGACCAACCATGTAGCATAGACTTGCAGAGATCCTGCTGTGACCCTTTCAAAGCACTGGGATTAAAGACATGAGTCACCTGGCTTTGCTTATTTGGTTTTAATGAACAATGGAATTATCCAGTAGGTACTCTACATTTTAGCCCCAGGATTAGTTGCTGAATACACATTTGAGTGTGAGAGGAAACTACTGGTTTCTAAAATCTCTTGGACAATTCAGAAATAATTGGACAGTTCAAATACTGTGACTGAACAAGACCATGTGGTCAACAACTGAAGTTGGGCTTTGGCATAGGCAAAATCATTATCCAAATCTCAGTTACAAAATTCAATTCCCTACAATTCTCTGACCTTTCTAGACCTTGGTTTCCTAATCTTTGTGTAAAGGGGTAGCAATAATTCCCATTAATATTTGGTATTGTAGAGATGCATGAAAGACAAGGCAGAATTATACTGAACATGCAATGGAGAGCCTTAATAAATACAGATGTGGTTATGATTATTCTAGAACTTTGCACAGCCATTATGCAAAAATAAGGACCAGATCTACCTGAGGAATTCCTCACAGATAGCAGATGTGTGATATGGAACCTGAAGGCTCCCAGGTTTAAGAACAAGGACAGTAGCTGAACATCATAAGAAAGGGAAATGAATAAACCCCTCTTTCATTTTTTTACCTACTTGTATTTTGTCCATGGTAAAAGTTAGGTAACTACATACAAATGACCTGATAATCATATAGG